TTTGGCAGTTTCTTACAGAACTAAACATACACTTACCATGCGATATAGCAATCACACTCACTGATAATTTACCCAAAGGAGTTGGCATTTTATGCCCACACAAAAACCTGTACCTGGTTGTTTATAGCAGCTTCATTCATAATTGCCCAAACTTGGAAGCAACCAATATGTCCTTCAGTAGATGAATGGATAATAAACTGTGGTGCATCCAGACAATGAAATATTATTGAAGGCTAAAATAAAATGAGCTATAATAAAATGAACTAAAATAAAAAAGCCATAAAAAGACATGCAGGAGTCTTAAAGGCATATTACTAAGTGAAAGAAGTCAACCTAAAAGCTACATGCTACATGATTCCAACTACGTGACATTCTGAATAAGGCAAAGCTATGGAGATAGTAAACAGATCAATGGTTGCCAGGGATTAAAAGGGAGGGAGGGATGAATAGGAGGAACACAGAAGACTTAGGGTAGTGAAACTATTCTATATGATGCTATTGTATAATGGTGGATACATGTCATTCCTTTGTCAAACCCACAGAATGTACAACACCAAGAGTGACCCATAATGTAAACCATGGATTTTGGATGATGATGATATGTCAATGTACATTCATCGGTTGTAACAAATGTACTAGTCTGGTATGGGTGGTCATGGTTGGAGAAAATGCATGTGTGGGGAAACGCATATGGAAACTCTCTGTACTTTCTACTCAATTTTGCTGTGAATCTATATAGAACTTCACTAAAAAAAAATAAAGTCTAGTAAAAAAAAGTTGTGCACATCAAAGCCACATGATATACTATAATTACATTTCTTTTCCTAGACAACCTTTTGTTTTCCTTGGAGTTGATCACTACTTTGTTTTGCCATGAGTTTTCTAAATTCTTAATATCAATCCTTCCCAAACTCTCCATTAGCACTGTAAAATGACAACTGATTTTATTTTCCATGTTCAAACACATCAGATACATTCTTTTCCTGGAGACTTTCCTCCTGAAAGTGTCCATTTTTCTGCTAAAATCTGGACCAATTATTCTCTAGATGTGTTTGTTGCACAAGTGGCATCCTTTGAGTTCCTTTAACCATAATTCTGGAAATTCCCTTTGCTTTTCTCCTGGATGAAATTCTCTGTTTCTTGGGTCCCATATATGCATTGTCCCCATATACACCTTGATCTACACCTTTATTTTAATGGAGAATATCTTCCAGATCTTTTCTGAGAAAGGATGTAAATAAATTTTGAGACATTGCATTTCTGCAAATATCTTCATTCTGCACTCATTTAATTGACAGGCTGGAAGGGTATGGAATTCTAAGTTGAATCTATTTTTCCCTTAGACTTTTGAAGGTATAGTTTCAAGGTCTTCTACCATCTAATGTTGCTGTATGAAGTCAGACATCATTCTTATTCCTAATCCTTTGTATATAAGTTATATTTTTAAAAAAATTCTGGAAGCTTAAAAGACCCTCTCTTTTTTCCCCTTCTGTCCTGATTATACAATTTTGTTGTTGTTGTTGTTGTTGTTTTTGATGAGCTATGTCAGTCTGAAAATACCAGGCCTTCAATTTTGGGAAATCTTATATTTCAACTGTTCTGTTTCCTCTAGTCTCTCATCTTGGAATCCTGTCACTCTGATGGTGGACCTCTTGGACTAACTTTTAATGTTTTTAACATTTCCAACCTATTTTTAGTCTTTTGGGCTTCTTTTTTTATTTTATATTTTTGGGTCTGCATTGCCAGAGGAGGACATACAATGCAGAATGCCAAAATATGTCTATAGTTTCTGATTTCTGATGTCCAGCATTCACTCAAAACTTACCACGCACACCAGAAGACAAGACCAAGAGAAAATTGGGCAACAGAAACAGATCCACAGAAAAGCCAGATATTGGAATTATGAGCCATAGTGTTTAAAATAACTTTAATATATTTGAGAAATTGGTAAAATAGACAATTTCAGCTAAGAAATGGAAACTATAAAAAGAATCTAATAAAATTCTAGGATCGAAAAACATAATAACTGAAATCAAGAATGCTGAAGTATGTATTCATTTAGCAGCTTGGTAAATAGCCAAAGAAACACCTACATAGATCCTCTAAGAGAAGTGTAGAATGACTCTAGCAGCACTATTCAAAATAGCTTAAAGTGAATAAATATAGTATATTCTTAAAATAATATACCATACAGTAATGAAAATCAGCAAAAATATAGATGAATCGCACAATGTTTTGTGGAAAAAAAAATGTATATATGAAAGGATATATAATACTATATAGTTCCATTTATCTAAAGTTAAAAATAGGTGCAATGAATCTGTGGTGTTAGAAGTCAGGATAGAGTTGCCTCTCAGAAGAAGAGGGCCATGACTGGGAGGGACATAAGCAGGGCTTCTAGGATGCTCGTATTTCTAGTTCTTGATCTGGGTGGTGGTTCCAGAAATGTAATTACTTTGTGGTAATTACCTGAAGCTGAACACTTATGATTTGTGAATGTCTTTATATGTATATAAAAAGTTATAATATAATAAATATCAATAAAATATTTATTGAAGTAAATCGGGAACAAATTATTTTATAGATATGGTATCTTTTCTTAACTCCAAGAAAAACATATATTTATTCCCTACCTTATCTATTTCCTTCTTCCTATTTGCTTTGGATAGACATCTACCATGTACCTGATGTACCTGAGTTTTAGAAGCTCACTGGTTCAGTTTCTCCAGAGAATATATCTCCTGTTGCTTGGTTATATGGAGTTGGAGAGTGGCCCTGGAGTCGTATAGCAAGCTCTGCAGAATTTTACCCAATTTCCCTGTTTTTAGCCACACCTTTTTACCCTGCCTTTGGCAGTACCTATGACTGCCAATTCCTGAGCCCCTCTGAGGTTCTACGTTATGAATCTCATTGTAAGCCTCTCTGTAAACCTGAAAGTTTCAGCTTTCTCGGCTCTTCTAAATCAACTGTCACTCCTCAATCTTACAAGATTTATGAACATCTTTTGGCTATTGTTGTCTCCTCTTTATCCGGGTAGATTTATACTTTTTTTATTCCTATATTGTAATTTTAGTGGGGCTTGAGGAAGGACCAGAGATAAAAACATGTATTTAATCTGGCCATTTTTGATTTGCTTTTTTCCTCACATGTATTTAAAAATATTAATTACCTCCTATGATCTGATGTAGAATGCACATGTATTTCTATATCTTTTGAGGTTTCTTATTAGGAGGGTGTGGTTTTTTGTTTTTTTTTTAAATGAAATCTTTCACTTTCTTCTGTAGCCTTTAAATGCTACATAAAATGAGTGGCCATACTTTCTGGCTTGTGATATCACTGGGGAGCTGTTAATATGCTGTGTTTTCTTATCACATAAAGTTCATAGGCATAGGGTCCTGTTCCACAGAGCAAACCACCAAGGATTTCTCAGACACCCATCCAGATGGAGCACAAGTCTAAAGCTTACATACAAGCTTCTAAGAAATCACCTCTGCCATCTTATGTGCAGCTACTTCCTGGGCTTCTAGAAGAATTGATTCTATTAAAAATAATCCCAGATGAAAATCAAAAGGAAGTACCAGTATTCTCCCAATACTTTCAGTTGTTTAAGACTATCTTGGGGCATCCCAGTTTTGGGTACCCCCTCTTATAAGACAGCTGTACTTTTGCTTCAATAAAAATCTTTGCTCCTCTACCTCTCAAAAAAAAAGACTATGTTAGCAGGAGAATTTGTGTTGACTTATGAATACTAGATGGCTCAGTTACATGTAGAGTATGTTTATTAATCATATAAAGAATAATTAACGTATGCCTTTCCAATCTCCCTAGAAATAATAGGAATAACTCAACCATCTTTATACTTTAAAATGATCATTATAAAATTAATATATTAATATAACTTCTCCTCAGTGACTTCATGAAATGTACACAGAGTATTAAGACAGTATAGTGGACAACTGTAGTGCATTTTGGGGTCTGGCACCTTTTGAACACCCTTCCTAATGTAGTGACTTTGTTACACAATGAGTCCTCTCCCTCAAGTCAGGAATTAGACTTTTACTTTGCCAGCCTTCTTTCCAGCCTGTGACCTCGACTTTACAAATCACACGGCATTGTCAGTCTTTGTTCAGTAGGGAGAAACATGAAGAAGGAGAAAACCTCTTCCGGCAAGGGTGGCAGGGAAGAAGACATTTAATTTTCAGGAGCATTAGTAATAGAAATTCTGGGACCTAGAGCCCAGCATTACGATGTTACTTAGGAAATCTCTGCCCAGTGGCGGTAGCTATCAGCATTTTCCTTGGAGCAGTCTTGTGACAGGGTCTGGGTTTGTTCTTGGCTGTAGCTTCCAAGCTTGACTTTCTGGATTTCCTTCAGAGTCTATGAACTGGCTAATTTCCTTAAATAAATTATTTTTCTTTTTCAACTACTTAGAGAGGATTCTGTTGCTTACAACTAAAACACCTAATTCAGATGGTAAGTGCTACCATAAACAAAAAAGAAATGTAACCACAAAACTAAAAAATATATATCCTTGTGACATTCAACTACAGTAAAAATAAACATGGGATCAGAGTAAAGAATGACATATGCTAGAACATGGATGAACCATAGGGTTTATGCTAAATGAAGCCAATTATAGAGACAAATACTGTAGGATTCTACTTATATAAGGGATCTAAAACAGTCAAATTCATGGAATCAAAGAGTTGCCAAGGGTTGCGGGGAGGGGGAAATAGGGAGTTACTAATCAATGGGCATAAAGTCTCAGTAAAGATGAATAAGCTCTAGAGATCATTGTACGTATAGTCAACAGCTATATATTATATATTTAAAAGTTTATGAAGAGGACAGATCTCATGTTAAGTATTCTTTGCACAATAAAATAAAATAAAACATGAATTAAAAAAAATCATGACCATGTACTCATGCTCTCCAAAGGCATGTCTAATTTTCAAAACATAGTGGAGAATTTAAAAGTCTTGGTAGCAACGTGAACATACCATCTTTATCAGCAGTGTCTTGAGGCTTGGATTTTAAAGTGAAGATCTTCCTTAGTTTACAGTTAGCTGAGACAATAATTCCATCCAATGACTGGAAAACTGCTCCCTTGAATATTTCACTGGTAAATGCCACCAAATCAATGCACAGATTGCACCACTAAAATAAAGAAAAGGAAGAAGCATTATACTTTCTATTGTATAATCACAGAAATGAGCAAGCCAGCTGTATGTGGAAAGTCCAGAGAGTTGAGGCAATTATCTGGATCAATTTTCCCCTTTAGGCAAATCTGTCTCTGTTTTGGCTTCAAAATTTTCTTAAGAATTGCCTTGATTCTTCCAAAGAAATCATAATCTAAACTCCACATTAGTCATCTGACTACAGAGCTTCGATCATGAGTCAAGGCTTTGACAACTTGGGGGAAGAACTGTAGAGCATAGGCAGTATGCTAGTGGGAAGCTAACTGCAGGGGCATTAGACCACTTACATCTTGAAAATCAGGGATAAGTAGCCAATTGTTCCTTCAAGCGGACTAATTTGATCATAATTAGCCACTTATATTTGTTAAAAAAAAAGCATGGATGAAATTAGAAGCTGGGTTTAAATTGTGGCCAGTGCTGTTTAGTTATAACCAATTAACCTATTTTACAGAAATAGATTCTTCTAAAGAATTTGTAATTATGCCCGGTATTTGCCAATTTTTAAAGTACTCTTGCAGGGACTAATTTCTGCCCATTAAACAATTAGACCTCTCAATACTTCATCAAATGAATTCTCCGAATGGTCTGAGTTAAAGAAAAGGAGAAAATAATCATTTACTAAGAAATTAAGACATATTAAAGACTGCGGAAAAAAAGTAAGAAAAATCAATTATGAAATTAAAAGTAGTATTTAAAATTATTTGTGCTTTTTTAAAAATATCCGACTCTTCCATTATTTGTTTAGAAGCACAGTATGTATAAGGCCCATTTTATTAATCTATCATAGTAAAAAAGTAAAAGAGATTGCAGTAACTTTATTGATTAAGTATGTGAAGACGATTTTCTCTGTAGATACTTCAACAGTAAAATTACATTCCCAGGCCACAGGGATGCTCTGGTCTTTTTAGGGAAAAGGAGTCTGGTGTAATAAAAGGTAGGAAGTAGGACCGAGTGTGATGTGTTAATGAGACTCGCTTGGCTAGTAGGACGGTGAGCGCTGGGGAGGCGTGGGAAGCAATGTGGGGTTGGCCAGTGAGGCCAGGTTCCGGAGGAGCTGGAAGACCAGGAAGAGAACCTTGAACTCCAGAGGGTGAAGTGTCACTGTGGTTCCTGAAGGAGAATGTGACAAAAGTAGAGTATTAGGAAGTTTGGACTAACCCTGATGCAGGAATGTTTTGGGGTGATAGAGGGGGTCTGTGGGGGAAGGCTGAAGTACAGGGAGGCAGACTGAGGCATAGACAGACTAGTGAGTCTCTGTCAATCACTTAAGCAGAAAGCAAGGAGGGTCTGGTTAGAAGGCCAGCACAGGAAGTGGAATGTATCGGACAAATCCAGTAGGCAAGCGGTAAGGTGAAACTTCATGGCGTGGTAAAATCCAGGTTCTAGGGGTGGAGGTGTTGGGGTTTCCAGCTATCCAATAATAATTATTAACATTATTATCATGTTAGCAATATTATTATTGTTATAAATGTGGTTCCTATTCCTAAAAGACTTAATTATCATTATGCCCCAATTCTAATCATTCAGCTGATCTGTCCTAGTAATTGCACTCATCTGTCCTTTCACACAGATGCTAAGCACTTATCAGGTGTTAGACACTAGGCTTGTCTCCAGGAATATAGCAACGAATAAGACAGTCCTTCTAGTCTGGGAGGCAGACATTTGGCATTTATTACATACAGCTAGTACAGACAGGGCTCAAGATGGGAGGGTGGGGAGGTTCGGGAAAGGCTTCTTTTAAAACACATTTTAAAAATTATATCATGGCTATCATCAACAAGACAAGGAATAACAAGTGTTAGTGAGGTTGTGGAGAAAAAGGAACCCTCACACACTGCTGGTGGGAATGTGAATTGGTACAGCCAATATGGAAAACAGTATGGAGGTTCCTCAAAAAATTTAGAATAGAACTACCTTATGACCCAGCAATCCCTCTCCTGGGTATCTACCCCTCAAAATCTGAAAACACGGATTTGTAAAGATATATGTACTCCGATGTTCAATGCAGCATTATTCACAGTGGTCAAGACATGGAAACAACCAAAATGTCCTTCGATAGATGATTGGGTAAGGAAGATGTGTTGTATATACACAATGGAATACTACTCCAGCATAAAAGATGAAATACTGCCATTTGTGACAACATGGATGGATCTTGAGACTATTCTGCTAAGTGAAATAAGTCAGACAGAAAAAGTTGAGAACCATATGACTTTATTCACATGTGTAATATAAAACTGAAAGGAACAAAGGAACAAGACAAACAAAGCAACAAAAACTCGTAGACACAGACAACAGTTTGGTGGTTACCAGATGGTAAGGGGGAAGGGGCGTGGTAGAAGACGGTAAAGGAGGTCAACTGTATGATGATGGAAGGAGAACTGACTCTGGATGGTGAGCATACAATGTGATACACAGATGATGTGTTACAGAATTGTACACTTAAAACCTATATAATTTTACTAACCATTGTCACCCCAATAAATTTAATTGAAAAATTATATCATATTATATGCATATAAAGCTAAATAGTGTCAAAAATTTTATGTGAAATGAAGTCCTTGTCATCTCTCCATTCCTCTAAACATACTGTCAACTCTTAGCTGTTTCTTCTCTCTGTATTTTTAAACAATACCTCTTGATTCATCAATTTTGGATATTATCTACTGACTTCCTATTATGGTAGATAAGACTTAGCTCACTTACACATACTACTTCGCCCCCTTCATCCTCCCTAATTATCCTTCATTCTTTCTTTTTTTCTCAAAATTCCTATTCTGTGTTCTCCTTATTGTGAATATGTAAATATTATACACAATTGAGCCAACTGATGCTCTATGATTACCTTTCCTTCCTTATATAACTTCTTTATATTTCTAGAGCTAATAATTGCTGTTTTAATAATCTGCTTTATTTCCTTTGAATCTGTTTTCCACTATCTAGGAAAGGCTTGTAGGCGACATCTGAGTTTGGTTGTGAACAGTGAATGAGAGTTTCCAGGCCCAGGGAGGCATGTGAACATGCTGTGCATGTTTTCCCAGGGCCCTGCCCCTTTATTCCCTGCTTAGATGAACTCTCCAGCTGGCTGTGCCTGAACACCCCATCAGACCCCATCAGCTCTGCTTCGAAAATGGTGTCCACCTCCTTCAAAACCTCTGCGTCCCAGGAAACCAGCCCCTTACCTACTACACACTTTTCTTATCCATCACAGTGTGCTTTTTTTCCCCCTCTGCCGGGACTCATGCTTCATGGCAAATACTCATCAAATAAAGGTATGCGTGTGTGTGTGTGTGTGTGTGTGTGTGTGTTAATATATGAAGACATGCATGTACATACATACTTACAGACACACTTTCAATCTTTCATTTCATAATCACTCAACAAACCCCATAAATGTGTGGGAACTGATAACATTTAGTGAATCCATTTCTTAGAAGTACACAACAGAGTAGTTCCTGAAAATAATGGAAAAAAACTTTCACAAATCTCCCTTGGCTAGAGGAAATAGAAATTATTTTTTGTTTTAGCTGATATTCATAAAGGTTCTAATTTTCATAAGTTTCAACAAATAAGTCATTATTCATATGCATATAAATGCTGTGAAATATTTTCTGAAGTTTTGGAAAGAGTATAAACTTTCTACTATCAACAGGTGGATTATATGAATTACAGTTGATCTTTATATTATTTTCACTATTCTTGGTGATATCATCCATTCTTAAGATCCCTTTTTTGACACTTTTCTTGACCTCTAATCATTTTATTCCTATGTTTCTATGTGAACTGTAGTCCAGCAGGGAAGAGGTCTTGGTCTAAAATACCATATTTCCCCATGTATAAGATGCTCGCATGTATAAGACGCACCTTAATTTTGGGGCCTGAAATTTGAAAAAAAAATGTATTATATAAAGTTATTGAACTCAAGTTTTATTCATCATAAAATTCATACAACTCCTCGTCACTGTCAAAACTCCAAACCATTAGCTTGTCCTCATCTGTGTCTGATGACGAATCACTGTCTTCATATATTGCCTTGTCCTCAGCGGGAAATGCAAGTAAAAAAATCTACAACCACTGTATAAGACACACCCAGTTTTCAGACCCCAACTTTTTCGAAAAAGGGTGCGTCTTATACATGGGGAAATACGGTATAATCATGGGCCCGTAAGAAGTTTGCACAGAAAGACAGCAATCTAATAGAGAAAAGGCAGTTCTGTTTAGCTTGTTGCTTGGATTAGTAAGACAGGTTATGTTACTCAGCCCCAGCATGGAGTTTTGCAAGAAAAAAATTGACTGCCAAAGGGTAAAAGAATGATTCAAAGCATGAATTTCTAGTTTTTACTGACTCATATTTTGGCAATGTGGCTTTATTATACCAGTGACAGGATTGTATATTCTGTGAAAACACACACACACACACACAGACACACACACACACACACACACACACACACACACCCAAATGCATGCAATAACAAGCTTTTGGTGGTCCCAGTCCTGTTTTGATCTCCCACGCCATTACTATACGAAAGCTCTGAAGATACCTGGACTCATTTTGTCCGTGTAGAAAGAACCCGAGTCATAACAGTGCACAAATCTAGCCATTGTTGCCATTCTAAAAGGAAACAACAAACAAGAAATCGTGATTTCATAACCTAGCAATCCTAAACTACATCTCTTCCCAGGATTTTAGAACCTCGTTCAGTTTTTGTGCTCCTAAAATAATAACAAAGAACAAAGTTTTAAGATGTTTATTGTGCCTTTTAAAATAATTTTTCATGTCAGTTTTAATTTCTCAAAAGAAATTACAATGACCCTATTCACCTTTATCACATCATATTGTAGTTATTAAATGGTGTAAGCAGAGATTGAAATAGTAATTTTATATACACATAGTCAGGAGAAGCAATTACCAATTACTACTGTATTAAAAACAATTTCCCCAGGAAAAGCAAATCA